GGACGGCCGTACTCGATTTATTCAGCCGAGCACGAATGTCCCTGGTCAATACCGTTACGTCGCGAGTCTCGCGAAATGAACCGTCTGTTTGTCCATCGATGGCGATCTAGAAAGGAAGCGCGACGAAAGTGTTCCGGTTGGGAAGCGAAATCCTAATCGATCGACTTGGCTGCCAATGTTGGTTGTCGGCCGTTTCATCCGCCAAAAATGTCACAACAGCATCGTAAACGGAGACGTGGTCTGACGTTCGCTGATTTCTCGTAATCGGTGTACCGTATATGTATGTATGGTTCGTAAAAAAACTTAATGACTTTAAAAATCGCCCTAATTTAAGATCATCAGAAACCGGTTCGGAGGAGAAGCCACGAAAAAACTCTGATAGATGGATGGCAATAACCTCAAGTACGCATTTTACACTCTAGGAGAGGAACAATGATTTGTATGTCAAGTTGATTCTTGTATGTATATTCTATGATTATATAGAATATTCAAAACTTAACGGATATTTTTTCAACTTTTTAAATTTATTTCGAGATTATTTCTTTTCTTAATAAAAATATCGAGGGGAATATTTCACTATTTGTTGCACTTCTTCAACTTTAATGTTATATATCTTTGCAATTAAGTCTTAAATACATTTCTATTAAAGTTATCTTTGAAATTTACTGAAAAAAAGACTTGTGATATATTTTTTCTCTTAAAAGTTTGTCTCCTCATTAGTGAAAAACTTTCTTGTTACTTAATCATTTAGTCGGAACTCATAAATGTCTCGACATTTTCGCTGAGGAAAAAATCGATTTCCAAATCAGCTAATGAGAATCTGTCTCGCAATATCTCGTAGATAATTATTACTCTTCGGAGTATTTATGAAATATTCCATGTAAAAATAGAAAACACGGAAGGAGAAGAGGTGCGCGATACATTTTGATAGCCGATAATAATATATTTGCAATGGCGATAAGCGCGCAACAGGTCCCCGCACATTTCACGGAAGTCGCGCGGTTGCATAACGCCAAGTGTCACGCTTCCTTGATGATGTTAAGGAAAAAACAAGGAAAAAAATAGAATGATAAATATCGTCCGTCGAAAGGAAGAGTCTTCTAATGAAACGAACGACTCCGAGCCAGCGTGTCGTACGATAAGAATTATGAGATAGGAGAATACTCTCAACACACGCTCGGGAGGATCAGATTCTCGTTGATCGAGGGGATAAAGAGAAACCAACTACATCTCTCTCTCGTTTTTTTTTTCGTTTTTTTTTTCGGACCAGTTTTCGTGCCGAGGAAGGTTTTTTCATTTTTTGGCCGGGTAGGTTCTGGAGCAGAAACTGGTTTGGTGGGAGCCGCGAGGCGGCTGGTACCCTCGGTACACCGCTGGTAAGCCCATGGCACGTTGTCGCGAGATATATATTCATTTGCGAGTGGCGGGAGTCCCCGAGGGAAGCCGGTGGGGCCTCCTCGCGCCGACAAGTGATCGTTTACAGTTATAGTCAGTCCGCATCGGGCACTCGGCCGGCCCTGACCGTATCGGTACACGTATACACGCTGATAAGGTTCCTCGTTTTCTTTGGCTTTTTCGGATACGCGTGCGCGTCACCGAAGAATTTCTCTCTCCCTCTCTCTTTTTTTCGGGGACGGACGAGTCTCTCTTTCTCAAAATCGAGTGCCAAATAACAGTGTGATTCGGGCCTTTCCTCCGATTCCTTTTCTCAGACATCTTTCTAAATTTCCTTATCGCGTCGTCGTCGAGCGTCATCGTCGACCTAACGAGACGACGAAATCGCTTTAGAGTTTGAACTCGACAGCAGCGACGGCAGTGATTGACAGGACGTTATTAAATATCTGTTGAAAGTATCGTAAGGCTTCGAGCAGTGATTTAGTGGCCAAGATCAATGAGTGTCGTGTGAAAGGAAAAGTGCGAGACGCGACTTTGCGTTCGGCGGCTGCGAAAAACGCGCTGGCGCTGCGCGTGCACTCGTCGCGCTTTACGCACGAAGCACACTGATGGAGAATAATCGGCCGACGAGGTAAATTAACCCTCATTTTCAACTCTCGACGCACAATATCGAATAGTGACGAGCGAGGATTTAACATGCATGTCTGCATTTTTTTCGCGCCCGGAATGCAGCCAGGAATTTACGATCCGGAACTGTAATGTTTTTAACGGTATCGCGTTTCTCTCTCTTTCTCTCTCTCTCTCTCTCCGCATAATCGAAGAATATTTTCAAACTATATATATCGTACACGCATTATGTAATATTTTTGCCAAAGCTATACCGTCAAAGAAAAACCGGTCTTTTTTAAATGTGGAATACGCATTGTAAAAACAAATTTTTCTCTGCAATTCCAGAGGAATTAAATCTGTAAATAATTACGATAACGTTCGAATCGTTTTTAAATTCGAAGAAAACTCAAAAGAGAAATTACTTAGATAGCTTTGATACGGCGAAGCGGCGTGACGGATACGGTACCCGGCGATAAATCACAACGTGGCATTCGAAGGTTATCGTGCGACGTTAATTACTTATCAGAGATCGTTCGATTATGCAGACATCGCGCGTTTTAATATTAAAATCGCTTGCGAAATGTACGTAACGCCGAAATTTGTGAAAAAAAAAAATGGAAATTCGAATTCAGTTTTCTACGGCTGTTTACATGTCGCCCTTGACACTTTATCCGATAAGCGGATACTTTTCATTTCTCGCCGTGCGTCAAGTGTCCGCGCCGACTATATCGCGCGTGCTGATAATAATAAATTAATGTTTGATAAATATGAATAAATAACAATCAAAATAACGCGAGTCTGTTTTCGAGTTTGGTTTCCGGCAAAAAACGCTTTCGATAAAGCTGAAATTCCTATAATATTTAAGTCGCGCCGTCATTACAAACACATATATGCATATATCACATGGAGTAGCACACGCACAGGAGCGTTAATAGTATTACGATAACTTATGGTGGCGACCGCAAGCGGTATCGGATACGAGCGCGCTATTAAAAGATAGACGCGGTCAAACGACTTTGTCATCGTAACGCACGTGTACTCGTCAATTTTCCGATACGAATTCGTCGTTCGTAAATTGTATTTTGTATCGACAGGCGTGGCAAAAAAAAAAAACGGTATTTCGCCACTTCGTTTATAAGTATAGGTAGATTTGTTATGCTCGCCGGCAATATAATATGCAAACGTTAACAAAAGTACGTTTACGAGTCGAATGCGCGTTTGACTGCGAGTTTTCACTACTGACTGTGCATTCGCTTGGCGCACGTTTTTTAATAGCACGTAGTTGTAATATGATCCTAAACGAATCACATATCTATCGATCATTGCCCTCTATTTTTTTCTCGCGAGAATCTTCACACAAATTTTATACGAAATTAATTCGAAAATTGACATATTAAATGTAAAGTTAAATATTTCGTGCGCGCGTACAATTGAGCCACATCTCTCGAAAATTTTCTTCAGAAAATATTAAAATAGAAAAAAAACACGCACACACATAAGCTTTATCCATTTTTTAGTATATTTTGGAATAAGAGAGTCTAGAAAAAAATTTATCATTGAATTATTGCAATCCTTCGAGACGCAAGCTTGAAAAAATCGAAAGTTTCCGATAATATCAAGTATTATGCAATTCTGCTGCATTACTCAATCTCACAGGCAGCCCTGTTGAGAACTCGCGTGCTTTTGCGTCAAGATTTGACGAAATCATAAATACTTTAAGTACCATAGTAGAAGAAAGTAGTAGAACAGTAAAAGCTTTGTAGAAAAGTCTTGCTTCTCGCTTCCAGCTTAAATTATCAATCTCGAGTCTAATTGGATTGACCCATTCTAATATGCATTAATGCATATTAGTCGCGAATGCATACGCAGACGCGATTAGGGAATTCTTGGCATTGAAGAGCAAAACAGGAAAAGGAGATATCCCGATTATTTTCGCTCGCGCGTGCGTATCATTCTTTTTCTCTTTCTTCTCTCTCACTTCACTCGAATCTACAAAAATCCCAATTTTTTGAAGAAACTATATCTGTCATGACTTATAATCTGGCAGTATTTCAGAATCACCGAGCGAGATTATATATTCAATATTAACATCAGTAATGACGTATACCGATGATTCCGAAACTTTTTCTTCGTTGCTTTCGATCGAATCGCACGTAATTGCGTTACACATTTTTTTGAAACTGTGTTCAGCATAAATATCGCTGACTGCAACAATATTTTCTTTTCCTTATTTAATATTTTGAATTCTTATAAGATTTGACATTTTTTTTTAAATCTTGTATATCATTGTGTTTTATTTTATATAAACTTCAATATCTTTAACAAACATTTTAGGCATAATTTAATACTTATTTTATTTCATTGAATAAATTTATTTACATGTAAAATATTATAAATTATTTTAATTAAGAATATATTCATCTTTTTAATAGCTTATTATAAATTTGCATATCTGTTCTTTTTTTATTTATAAAAAGGATAAAAAGAAAAAATCGTATCACGTATTTGCATAAGAAGTGCTTTGCACTGCAACCAGTACGTTTCTTGAAGATGATGCGATATGTTATTACAGAGAGACCGAGCTGTGATTTTGATCAGGATAATGCGAAGCCTGGATAGGCTATCGGGTAGCGACCAAGACTGCGGTGATCGGGAAATGTACATCGACCTGGACGACGCCTCCGTCGACTCGCTTACCGGGAAACGTAGTCGCCACCATGTCGTTGGCGCGGAGGTATTTCACCCCCTTCTCTCTCTTCTCCTCTGTTTTTCTTTTCATTGAACGTTCGCGATACATCATTCGACGAGACTTTTGAATGTGTAAAAAAGAATTTTATTTAATTCGCGAAGAAGGGATAGATATTTTTTTCGCCTCCGTATTTACAATCCAAATGTTTCATACATACTTTCACACAAATTTTCAGCGCAGTACATGGCCGAAATCAATTAATTACGTCGATGCGAGTTTCAATGAATTATTTATAAAAAGGATAAAAAGAAAAAATCGTATCACGTATTTGCATAAGAAGTGCTTTGCACTGCAACCAGTACGTTTCTTGAAGATGATGCGATATGTTATTACAGAGAGACCGAGCTGTGATTTTGATCAGGATAATGCGAAGCCTGGATAGGCTATCGGGTAGCGACCAAGACTGCGGTGATCGGGAAATGTACATCGACCTGGACGACGCCTCCGTCGACTCGCTTACCGGGAAACGTAGTCGCCACCATGTCGTTGGCGCGGAGGTATTTCACCCCCTTCTCTCTCTTCTCCTCTGTTTTTCTTTTCATTGAACGTTCGCGATACATCATTCGACGAGACTTTTGAATGTGTAAAAAAGAATTTTATTTAATTCGCGAAGAAGGGATAGATATTTTTTTCGCCTCCGTATTTACAATCCAAATGTGTTTCATACATACTTTCACACAAATTTACAGCGCAGTACATGGCCGAAATCAATTAATTACATCGATGCGAGTTTCAATGAATAGATAACACAAATCAGATCCAGAGACTGCACGGGACAACATCTTATTATCGGCGGTTGAGATTGAATAAATAATCCTTTTATCAGTGTCATGCAGCAGCAAAAGAAATCACTAACATTTTATCTATCGATTTTTATCGCTCAAGCAAACATCTGTGAAGCGCGTTGCTGCGTGAGGAGGGAGAGAATCAAATATATATATTTCATTACGACAATGAAAAAATAGCTCGACAAAATCTCTTCATTTAGATTAGATTAGGAAGAAGCCATTACTTATGTAATACATTATCGCGAGTTAATTTAATGCTCTTTTTTACTTATACCGACATTACTCGAATACAGGCGAGTTTCAACCATTATAATCAACGTATCTCTTTAAAGACACACTTTTAAATTTTTTAATGCATTTTTTAATCGAACGAATTATTGCTCATATAAAGAACTTTTATTATAATGAAATATTTATATTATCTCCCTCTCTCTCTCTCTCTCTCTTTCTCTCTCAAGTGGCATATATATTATGTTATGTATTATAGAATATTATATTACATATAGTATTTCATATTATATTATATATTTTATTACAAAATTAAAAAAAAATATATGCGCATTATGAGATATTTACAAGCATGGTATTTTCTGTTTCAATTCTCTGTTTTCGAAAACAAATTGTTTCTTTCTAGAAAGTGAATATTCGTCCGTATTCATATCACGAGAGTATGCAATAATATAATACTATATTCGGAAAAAAATCTATTCTCTGTCATAAAAATCGAATATATGTAAAAACAGGTGGGCGAGGAGAGCGACAGCAGCGGAAGCGAGAGGAGTCCGAAGCAAGCGAAGAGGAGAAACCGCGGTAGTGCACCACCGACCACGAGGAGACGGAAAAGCGGAATTTCCGCGCGTGAGAGGAACCTAAGGAGGCTCGAGAGTAACGAGAGAGAGAGGATGAGAATGCATTCACTCAATGATGCTTTTGAGGTAACAATTCATCGAAACAACTTTACTACAGAGTGATTAAATTGCAAATATAACGAGAATGAAAATAATATTTGATTAATTTTTATCGCATAAAACACATCGATCCCGCGGAATCGCTAACGAATAAACATTCAAAAAAAAGATTCGCATCTAATAAAAAATATTTTAGCAAATATATTTCTCTCGTTGTAAAATATATTCACTTCTCTCCATTTTAATATCCTTCTAATATCTAGAGAGAGACGATCCGTCTACCGACTCGATGGTCGTGTATTATTAGCTGAAATGTTGTTGGTCGACGTTGAATGTTAATGCAAACGATAGCGGAGTGCAGAGAAATCGATTTGTATGTAGAAGATAAATGATGACAAGCCATGTCTGTACAAATCGATAGAACCTGTTCGATAAGTCTGTCCGTTCTATTGACCGATCATATAATAGCATCATTAAAAATCTATCAACTCTCTCTCTCTCTCTCTCTCTTTCTCCTTGCGCAGGATCATATTCGATTAGAAATTGCAATCCGGCGCCGTATATAATATTTATCACGAATTTACGGCCCGATGTAATAGATAGATCTTCGATTCACTTCTCCCGTCGTAATTTTCAGCAATTACGCGAGGTAATACCACACGTGAAAATGGAGAGGAAGCTCAGCAAGATCGAAACGCTCACGCTGGCTAAAAATTATATAATGGCACTGACGAATGTCATATGTGAGATGCGCGGCGAGGAGCAACCGTATACGTGAGTATCATACTAGGCTAATGTTTTTCAAAACACGTGGTGAACAATAATTGCAAAATATTTGTTCGATATATATATCGAAATCAAACCAAAAATATAAATAAAAAGATGAGAACGTAAAAAGATTTCAATTGGATGTATGCAAATTTGTCGGGAATCTTTTTTCGCGCGTTTTAATACAATTTAATATATTTTTAACAAAAAAAAACGCGTCTTCTTCAGGTTTGTCGATGGTGAATGCGGTTCTAGCAGCGGTGACAGTACCGGTCAATTAGAATTAAGCGGGGGCGAACAACCTGACGAATCATCGCCCGCATCAATCCACGAGACCAACAACAACAGTCTTCTTCACGAAGATCTAGAACGCAGGATCTAAGGAAATTGAATTTAATCGACAACTATCGAGACATGTGTTACATATGCACATATACACACAGACTCTGTGATAAACTATCATATTAGTGCCTTCCGTAAGGACAGCAATCCGCGACGATTCACTCATTATCGCCATGGATCTTCGTAGATCGTTGTACGTTTTTAAAAAATTCCGCGCATAAAGATGATCAAAAATGATTCCACAGATACATGCAATGAAAAAAAACGCAAGATCAGATAGAAAGGAAAAAAAAAGAAAAAATAAGGGACAAATATAATAGAATATATATAGAGAAAATAGAGAGAAAGAATACGTAGTTAGATTATACACATATTTCAGAGTTAGCGCGTAATATATATATATTAATATACAGGGTGAATCACTAAAGATAATACAGGCTAATATTTCTAAAACTGAACGAGATATGAAATTCTTATTTTCCAGTAACTGTTTAGTATCGAAGCGGGCATTGGATGCAAAAATGGAACTTCACTGCAGTTAACATACGAAATTAATAAGGATTTCATATCTCATTCAGTTTCAGAAATATTAGCCTGTAACACCTTTAGTGATTCACTCTATATATATATCAACCTGAAAAAATTAGCGAGGTTTAGGAAACTGTTGCAAAATCAAAACCAAATAACGAGGAGTTTCCAACGCATCTTTTCGTGTCGTACGTGTGTCTCGGTGATTATAAAAAGCAGCAGTAAACTACTCTTATCTTGTTTAAAATGAAACCTAAGAATCCATATATTATTTCTAGGCTGTTATGAGTATAGTAATGCATGCCATTCAAGCGGATCAAAAGTTAGCAAAAGGAATTATTTTACCTTCAGTAGAAAGAATGGTTCTAAAATTAGTGAGGGAAAAGAAAATGGAAGCGGAACAAAAAGTATAGCTTTATCTGGCTTTCAAGTTTAGCTTTTAAATGGCTCCCACCCACGAACAACCTCTAAGTCACGATTATCTCGTAGAGATGTCTATGTAACTATATCGAGATAAGATTGTATAAGCATATTATCCAAAATAGAAAAAAGGCAGTACTGTCACACCAACATAAATCTATCTTATCTATATTTGTCATAACAAAGTGAAACGAGTTATATTTAATGATTCTCTCAATTCTACACAAAAAGCCTTGAATTTTTATAAAAATCCCGTGTTTGTATGCAAATGTTAAATGATCTGCGCTATCTTTATAGTTGGCTATAACAAATTCCGTTATCAGCAAGAGTTGTTGAAGTCGAAGGTAGTTTGTTCTAATATAACAATATCAATCATAATATTAATAATCATAAATAGATTAAATAATAAAAAGAAACGCGAGAAGAGTCGCGTCTCTCTTAAAGATGACTCAGTGAATCTAGGTAATCGTGGTTTATACCAAATAATGTGAACGCATGATCAACCGCGAGCATTAGGCCAGCCTCCAAGTAAATACACATTGTTTTGCAATTCCAAAATCATTAAATAAAAGTTAACAAGATAAGATTTCTTAAGATATAAAAGTAAGGCTCTTACAACTTAAAATCAAACTCCGAATAAAAAGGCAAAAGAGCCACGCGCAGTTTTTTGGGCGCAAAGGTATATAATTTAAACCAAAAAATAAATTAAAAAAATTAGAGAGCGACATGAGGGATTACGCCTTCTACCGTTGGTTACCATGTAACTCTGCGCTTTAATTGATTAAGATTTTTTATGTATACCGTTTATAGTTTAATTTAGTACTATTTGCGCTGATGATGGCCCAAAAAAAAAGGGCCGAAACGTCCGCCATTCGCGAATCATGTAATTAAAGAAATTCTAATTTATTTCTTGGTTTAAAATTATATACCTTTGCGCCCAAAAAACTGCGCGTGGCTCTTTTGCCTTTTTATTCGGAGTTTGATTATAAGATTTCTTACTTTGAAAAATTTTATCTGAGAATGACACATCTCGACTTCCGATTTATTAAGGAAGATCTTTGTTGAAAGATTATGCGCTAAAATCTGAAAATGTGTATACATATAATCTAAATATCTAAAACATACACTATATCATCTCTTTTTCTCTTTTATCATCTCTCTATATGCATTCTATTATATTTTATTATATTTCCTCGCTTTTTTCTTCTTTTTTTGTTTCCACACCTTTTTCTTTTGTTTCTTTCTTTTCCTTCTGTGTAGCCTCGCTTTTCTTTTACTACAATGACGTGTATTCGTTCAAATAGATACACGTTTCGTGGTACATATGGAATATATCGAAAACACATTCAGAAAATATTTATATTGTATGGCGAAAATAAAACATACATGGTTGTGTAAATTCATATTGCGATTTTCTTCTGATTGATCGTCAAATTGTCATTAATTTATTCTTTTATCAATGTTATCTCTCAATCTAGCACAAGATATATCGGCTATCATTATCACGATTATTATTATTATTTTTACCACTATACTATTTTTGCTACTAATACTACCCTGTTACTATCATTATTATTAGAACTATTATCTATTATTGCTATTGCTACTAAAACTATCACTCCTACTATTAATTCCTATTACTATTACTGCTATACCATTATCATTCCTACATAGCACACCATTGTTATATGGTTGTTAGATATTACTATCTCTTAATATTTTACAATTCCCATAAATCTATTATTTTTTATAGAATATCTTTCGACAGATTATTATTATTATTATTATTATTATTATTATTATTTCTGTTATTTTATTATTGCATTATTATTATTGTTACTTTATGAAATTAATAACACGTTATTTTAATTTTTTAGCAGTTATGTCATCTTTCGCAACCTACATTTTGCTCACATTGTTCCGTCCGTAAAAATTATGTAAAAGATAAACCCTATATATTTTAATACGTAAATGCCCAGATAGCAAATGCACGTCATTTGACAAAATGGCAATCGATCGTATCGTTGCAGTGCCTTTGCAATCGATATTAATCAATCAATAATTACACATTTATATTTTTTTAGCACATATCGACCATCAATCTCTCACAAATTATATTTTTAATTGTAAATTATAATTAGTAATTATACATCTCTGGCCAATTATCAATTACGAACGTAATTAACAAATGTAAAATCAGATAAATTTTACATCTGATGATTCAATAGCGAGTTAATTACAATTTCACTCACATGTTTGCTTATAAAATACGCGTTATGTATATATATAAGTACTTTCCATTAAGATACGGATCTTATCTACGAAGCATAATGTTAATGTGATAGGGCTAACCAGATCAGCCAAACTAACAGATAACGGCTATGCTATAACATTAGTTGTGCATTTTCAACAAATCGAATGCGACTACATAGTTAATAATTAACTGTCATAAGTTTCACACGGATACGCAGTAACGCGTTATTATCATATAAGTAGTGTCTTATTACCATTAAATTATGATTAATTTTGCAGTCACAACTTTACGCGCGTCTCGAAGCCGTAAGTCATAAATCTATAGTCTATTATCACTATTAGCGATAACACTATCAACAACTAATCATTATAGCGTTGTTATTGTCATTATCATTGTCATTGTGATGGTCATTGTCACGTAGTCATTATCATTAATATATTTTATTATTATTGATGTTATTTCGAGTAAAATTATTATGATTCATACACATATTTAAACGACTTGTGCGAGTATGAATTATTTCCGTAAGCGTTAGGCAAAAGTGACTAGGGTTTAACTATGTCTTCCCACTATTTCTATATATAATTAAACCTAAGTCGGCTTTGATGTTTACAAAAAACTATTCTAAAAGATTGCGCAACTTTATCGTATGTAACATTTTTCATGTAAATATATTGTACGTTGTGTTTTAAGAGTTTTACATAAGAATATACAGGGTGATTCACCCAAAAGTTGCTCATCTATATTAACTTCTTTCCTAAATGTCTCAGGCAGAAATTATTCAGCAGAAAACGAATGCGCTGACGGGCTAATAAAAGCCAGACAGAAAATTATTTTTAAGCAAATTCAATTATCCAAAAATAGTACAATTCGTTCCGGTTTCGCACCATCTTCAGCAACTGTTAAAAAATAATATATATTACAGTAATGCAGCTCAAGTTATAAAATCATTCATAGAAAAAAACATATGCAAAATTTAAAAATTATGCGCCTCTTGGCATTCAAAAACACTTAACGATTCAACTTATCAAGCGTTGCAAGCCTCTTATCGGTCGTTAGGGAGGGAGATTCACAAAAGCAATAGTTTGAAATCATTTTCAAATAGCCAAATATTACGAAAACATCTTCGTGTAAGTACGTTAAAAAATTAATACAATACGTTAGAAGAACGAAAAAGATACAATAAAAAGGAGGTAATTCATCAAAGATCACAGAAGATGGAGGATCGAAGAAATCGGAAACGCAACCGTCAGATGGATTGACTCGAGTGTTCGTTACATCATAAATATGTGATGTTATAAGTAGAACAGTCATAGATAATTGCCAACAAACATAAGTAGAGGAATGACGTAATGAACGCGGATTTTAAATTTTTAACAAGTGTTCTCCACAATCATTGAAATCATTAAGAGAAATCATTAAGAGTTCTCGGAAGTCAGAACGCATGATTTTTTTTTTATTTTGTGTATTTTTCTATGCATAATAATTCGATATGCATTTCACTATGACATGTATTAATTTGTTAACAGTTGGTATTGATGCTCCGAAACAGATCCAACACGTATTATTTTGATACATAATTAACTTTCTTGAAGATAATTTGTTGCGCTTATAAGAAGGCGCTTCTTACTAGTCTGTTATCATATTCATTATATATTGTAATATTAGAACCATATCTGTTCACTTTTAATAAGAAAAAAGTTATATATTGTTTTAAGATAATTATATTGTAATAAAATTAGTTTTCGTCTAGTGTTTTCCACACATACATTGCTATTTTTTTCAAAAATATCAAAAATTCTTTAAATGGAGCTTGAGAGATATATAAAATTGATAAAAACATTAAAAGAGATATAATTTTCTATCTAATATACAGTTATATTTACAAAAAATAGAAGATGCTAATAACAAACTGAAAATCAGGAAAGCGACATTTTTTTATTAATTTATTTTCTTTTTAATATATAATAGACATATTTTTATATTGTACAAACTTTACTTAAATCTCGAGAGGAACATACACGCGGAGTTTAATTTTTGTTACTCTTGATGGTGTGTATAATAATGGCCAGAATTAAAACGAATAATGTTCCTAACAGTCCAAGCATGAGCGCCATGAGAACTGTATCAATCGACAACCAAGGATCTTCCTCTCGAGTCCAGACAATAGACTTAACTGTTGTAAAGAAGCTGTAAGTGAAATGGAAATGTACTTGTGTTACTGACATCTCTTTTTAATCTTGTATTTTTTGGGGAAGAAATAGATATAGTGAGATAGAGCCAAAATAAAAAAAAACTAGATAATATAATAGCCAACATTTTACATTCAGAATCTCAAGAGAAAAGATAAAGTTTAAAAATCTTAATAAAGTTGTTTTTTACCAAAAATGTTACTGCACACATAAAGATACACTTCTAAAATATTTTCAAAGAGTATAAACTCTCTCTCTCTCTCTCTTGTCTCGTATTACAAGATTTTCATGTATAGAAGATATCGAGATAGCCTCTACATTAAAAAAAGAACCAGGGCACAGAAGGGTCAAGGTAAAGAGATTAGATTACAGTCAGAGCTAGGCAATATATTTCAAGTACTTGTTTAGCGCACTTAAGAGAGTAGAGATTTATTTTTGTATTTAAATGTGTGTGTGTGTGTGTGTGTGCGTGTGTGTATTTGATAAGAAATGCTTTCTCTTGTGTGATATTTAAATCATTCGCATGTTGTTCACTTTTTATCTGCGTTTAAATTTACTTCACTCTTCGCTTTGTTTTATACTTTACGATTGAAAAGTACTTTTCGCGTATTATTTTGTACATGAAGTATATTTTGCACAGTCCTGAGTGTAATTATAATGACGTTGGAATGCCGACGTGCTGGTTTCCATTTCCTCGTCGACGAGATCCTCGAAGGATGGCGCGATAGCATCGTCCAGATCCTTTCCCAGTTGTTTGAAGGCAGTTTTACCGAGCCAATCGGCGAGATCATTGCGATTTAGCTGCCGAAGACGATGTACTATTGCCGCGTGCGTCTTTCCCCTGCCTTCCCCGGGAAAGCTATTCCAATGGAGCAAGTGACGCAGACACGAGATTTCCTCATCTACTTTACGCTCTTTCATTCGCGGAAATAACCGAGCGTTAGATATATTTTTGATACATGAATGAATTAATTAATAAATAACTGGAAAATTTTTAAAGCGAAATTTTTTTGAGATATACATTATCAGTGAGGGGCAAAAAGAGGCTAACCAGCTGCGGCCAAGTTCTTCGGCAAGTCGTAAGTTGTGTAATGAAGCGCGGCAATCAATCGCCGGCACTCGAATGGATCAAGTCGTGCCGCGAGATACTCCAATTCGCTGAGATTCACGTCTATCGTGGCGCGAACCGTTGAGCCGAAAATGATCGCACCGATCGTAACGTAAATACCGATCGCCCAAAATGGCATTTTTCATCAAACAAGAGGTTAGAAAGAGAGAAGAGGAGGGAGACTTGCGTGAACGAAAACAAAGGAAAAAATCGTCATTTTGTCATATCGAGATTTCTTCACGCGATTTTTCAAAGATTTTTTTCAAAAATATTCACGCGTTTACTTATCGATTGATCTTTCTCTCGTATCTGTCTCGTTTTATATGTCATCGTATCTGTCTCTTGGGTCTTCTCTTCTTTTTTCTGTAACATTTGTGACAAGCGGTCGGCGATCCATTTTCCGATATCTCCCGTTCTTTGGGGATGATCGGCGCGGTGACCTCCGTCTGCATCAATTCTGGCGAAAGAATCCTTTTCTTTTTTCTCCGCAATTTTTTCACTCGCTTCTTTCGTCCTTCCTCGATATCAGAAGGAAGATATTTCCTAAACGTATATTTCGCGTTAAGGCTAATCAATCGTTCTCTCAAATCTCATTGTATCTCGGAATTAAAGAGAGAATTTGCAAAGGAACGCATAGATCTCATACTGACTCTTTCTTCTTCCTCCATGTGAGCTTATTAATGATCCTCGCGCACTTTTTTCTCACGCATATAGTACAGCAGCAGGTCAGAAGTATAGTCGCGATAATGATACCTCCGACAACGTGTAAGGATAAGGAGATCGATCGACGTCCTAAAATTGCATCGGAATGTCATTGTTCTCGCGTCTTGCTCTGAAAACATTCATTCGACCCACCTGATAAAATATCGGGGACAGACGTGTCGGTGTCATTCATTCCTCGTTTATTCAAATATACTTTTTATACCATCCTGCCCTATCGTTTCAATAAATATTAATATTAAATAGTAAGCAAATGACGTTTAACGGTTAGACAAATCGAAAAATATATAATAAATAGAATATCGAAATATCGCGCGCGAATAACTTGGCTAATACTTGACTAATATCACGTTCTCTCGCAGTGAGATTTGTGACCGATTTAGAAATGAAATTTTTTTAATACTTATTATAGAAAGAACTAAATAGAGAAATAGAGGAAGAGAGAGAAAAGGAAAAAAGGATGCAGCGGAAAAATTGCCAATAGGCAAATTACACATTTATTGCAAAACATATAACACAGTAGAAATTTTATCACAATATTATGTTATATCAGTTTTAACCACTTTTCGTTTCTTGAAACGTGAGTCAATATATGTAATTGTAAGAAACAACAAATATTATTCTCTCTTTGGCGCAAAATTAATTATATGCAAGTGATTAATTATATGTAATTAGTTGTATGTAAGTTGCATAAAAACCATGTTGCCCAGAACCATATCGTTCCATTGTGTGTGCGATCATAAATCGATTATAAATCTTTTGATAAATATTATTTTTGCGAAAAGCTCTATACGTATACAATATGCATCATGTATTTTTGTCAATTATAATTCAAAAATTGCGATTACGCACACACACATACATACATTGCGGATGTTTTAATTTTTATAAATCTCGTAAATGCTCGAAAAAACAAAGTCTAACATCTTTTTCCAAGCCTCCTGTGCCTCCGAAAGAGACTTAACATCAATTGTTTTAAATTCTGAAAAAAATATTATCTTTTAAGAAAAAAAGGAAACATTTCGGAGTTATAATATGTCAAGCCAATAAAAATATTGAGATCAACGACAAATTATCAACTTGTATCAAAAGATAAAACTTTAATATAGGAATTAACTTATACGGGATTCTTTTTTATTTTTATAGGAAACAAGGATTTTAAAATAATATTCTTTTTAAAACGGCCGATTAAATTACGATAATAAGATTGATGATTCATACGCAAAATTTTTAATACAAGATATTGCTTTTACATCATTGTGGGGGCAAGACAAATCTTCACTTACTTCAAACTGCTCCTGTGTTTGCCCGCGATTCTTGTGCTTTTCGATCAGATTAATCAGGCTCGCATGCATCAATTCCGGATCGTACATTTGCTCAATCAGTTTGCTAAATGTCGATATAATACTGGCAGAATGCGCTTGAAATCTCTTGTTTTTTGGCAATTCGTCAATCGGGATGTCCTTAAATGGCTTAAATTGCTTTTGATACTCGGGATATTGTTTGAAAAAACTATAAAGAACGATTTCAAATTATGTACCGTATTTTTAAAAAATTCACTTTCAATGTTCTTTATCACAAGGTTCTTTATTACTAAAGTTATATTGGATTATAATCTCAAAATGGGCGTTTTTCTCTAAAATGCTTAGTTTTTGAAAGAAAAGGGGTGTACGGGTGGTCTAGGACACCCTGTATATAGACAAAGTGTTTTCTTTGTATTATGCATCAATTACGAGAATAAATAATCAATGATGAAAATGTAAACGTTGTCAAACAAAAGTTAATATGGATGAACAAGTGAATCACTCTGTTTACGTTTTGTCATAAAAGAGTTACGAGATTGAGTTTTTAACACGCGTCATATTTTTATATAAGAAACATTTTATCATTTCTTTTCTCATATACTTTAAAGCGAAAAGATCTACAAATACCACAATTTAATTCTAGATTTTGCGACGTTTATTTAATATTTTGCGCCCGTAATCTTCTATAAGATAGAACAGCATAATGAAGCAAAAGAGAGAGAGAGAGAGATAGATAGATAGAAAACACGCGGAATGTAATTATAATGTTACCATAAATCAAGAACAATCGAGCAGCCAAATGTTTAGATCGATAATACAGCTAATTTTTAAATAAAATCACAGATTCGCCCGATTTGAATATCTTGGCATTAAAACCACTGGACGTCGGATGTCAAATGTCAATAAGCAAGTTTAACCATTCGAGACAGAAACATGTCGCACATACGTCTTTTAATACGTGCTTAAAAATCGCAAATTCTAGGCACATCATCACTCATCAAATATGCCATTTGAAACTACTATGAACGATGGTTCAATTGGCGCAATAATCTAATTCCGTATTGTATACAGATCGAAAATGTTTACCACTCAGTGAGAAATATAGATCGAAAAAACGTGTCTATTAGATGTCTATTAGACGTCTATAGACGTTTTTTCGATGTGTATTTCTCACTGGATGATAATAAAACTGGCGTTGAAATTTTTATAACGTGCACTCTCTGCCGTGTTTTTCGCAATTCATCGCGACGCAATATGCATCGGCAGACTCGATTGGTTTTGACGAGACGTGAGAGTTATTCGCGACGAGGTCTGCGACGCGTGACATGGATTTTCAATGATGCGCCAAACACGCATCGATAATATAATTAAAATAAATGAATGGCTCGTTAGAATGCGGAAGTTTGCGAGAACGAAGGAAGCTGTGTCGAAAGAGAGCGAGAGAGAGAATTTCAAATTCCGCACGCGTATTGCGAAACTATTATTGACGTCTGATCCATATGTGAAAGAATTATTTTATGATATCCTCAACCTGCCAACGTTGGCAACGTTCACCGTCTTTCCGTCGATTTATCCTCACCAAGTACCGAACTAACATCGAAAAATAGAACGGACGAGAAGAGACGATAATTCACTCACGCGATCATAACGGCGAGTCCGGCCGAAACTTCGTCTTTACGAGCGATCGCCCATGTGTTCTGCACCAGCCTCTTTTGCTTCTCCGTCATGCCAATTTTCTCGTCTACCTTACTATCGTCCAGAAAGAAATTAAATAGACCGCGGAACAACGCCATATTCGTCGCGCCGTATAAGAATAGAATCTAATCTATGGAAAACAATCAGGCATCGTTGATCAGATAATTATTCCGCACGTAATCTTTAATGAAAAGAGTGTTTACTTTAATCAAGAATGTTGCAGAATTGATTAAAGGAATATGTGTACAATAATTTACGAGTTTTAACTTAAGTTTTTAACTAAAAAATGAGCCGTTTTTACAATTTTGATTATTATTAATCGATGACAGTTTTATATCTCTATTGTTTAAGAGTAGGATTAATGTAATGAAAAATTAAATGCTTTCAATAAAAGTAAGAGAAACAAGATATATTCCGATAAAATGGCAGCTAATTTTATATACCGTTCTAGTATACTAAATTTTTTAAATCATTACATTCAAAAGTGAAAGCTGTACGGGATTGATATGTAACAGAAAAAGAAATTTTTTAATATATCATTATCTCTGGAAGAGAGAAATATAACACATGTATTATACATATCACATTGTACAAACGATAATAATTTTCGAGCAAATTTGTAAAAACACCCTTTCTTTTATTATGTATCGTATATTATGCGTATACCAGAGTTAACATACGTTAACAAAAGACAAACGACAAAGTATCTACTAGTAGAGAAAATAAAAGGAACCAACAATTCAAATCAACATCAAATATATCAAATATAAATTACGAATAGATGTTTGTATAATAATTTTCTTATTTTTTCTCGCAATATATATTAATTTATCATTCTTTTCTCTTTTTGGCAACCTTGACATTGCGATTGTTTAAACTGTCTACGGATGAAGATAGAGCGTAAAGAGAGTAACTAAACCGAGTGATACCAGGCAGAGCGAGGAGACACCGGAGACACTGCGCGAGCAACTACAAATTGGTATGATGATATGAGGCTCGCTTATCCAGAATCGTATCAATTACTCTATAATCCAGTACAATATGTCACGTGCCACGCGTGCACACTGGTCAAGCAGAGACTACTCGATGCTGCGGCCGATCTAACTATTTTAAAGCCGTCCCCACTCTCCACTTCCGAATACACGCGATGAAGAGAAATTGCGTTACATTCGCGAGACATTCCAAAGTCCGTATAAGCTCGGTTGTCTCTAGCAAGGATCTCGTTATTAAATAATAAGCGAAAAATCTGCCACCGATAACGAGCACGGAATCATTCTCTCTTGAGTAATTCCGTCAAATCCGTAAAATCGAATCCACTTCCACGCGAAATAAAAAAATTAAGAATGAAGAAAAATGAAGAAATTGACGAGACAAAGTCCGTAAACTTGACTTACCATATATAATCCAGAGATCTCGATTAAACAATAAATGAAAAATGTGCCAACGATCGCGGGATCGTCCTTTTGGACAACTAAAGTATCGTAAAGAATCGTAAAGTAAATTCAAAATAGCGACATCAGCACGCGCTAATGGAAAATTTGTTCAATTTAAGGAAGAAGGACGAAATAGTATTTTCTCTAACTGCACTTAAATATACAGTCGTATAGTTTGGTTCTATACATTTCACAATATTTTACACGATTTTAAGATATTTAATAAGATATAAAAATTCCGAATAATATATACACATATCTCTCTCTTATATATTGTTATATATTTATTATTTGTATCTGTGTATAAAAGATAACTGAAAAGAGACAGAATTTTGAAATTTATTTTTTAAATTATTTAATGATCTATTTTTTAATTAATAATATTAATATCTTTCATTAGTTTCTATACATTTCCATTCAATTTTATATATTTAATAACGTTTTATATTGTTTCCAAATCTTTAACAAGATGTAAAAATTTCGAATAATATGTATATACATATTTTGTATATTTCGTTACACATCATTTATAATTGTGTAAAAAATAATTGGGAGATAGGACCCCAGAGTTTTGAAATTTATTTATTATTGACCTATCTATTTTTAATCACTTTAATGTTAATTCCTTCCATCGAAATCACACGTCCCTTAGACATTGTACATTTGTCAAAGACGTCAGACATCGCTTACACACGTGGTTAGTTTGTTATTAAATATATTATCGATTGACCACGCGCGTGAGACATGTTTGACATCTTTGATTCACGAAAAATACAATGTCTGGAAAACGTGATCCCAACACGATAGATTAAATAAACAGGTATATTAAATAAACAGATCTCAGGCGACAATTAAATGTTGGCGTAATATAATCCCAGAATTTTTAAGAAATAAAATACAATTGTGACCTAAAACTCTCAAACTAGAATCACGGCTTTTATAATTTGTGCGAGATGTTGTTTTTGTATTGTAAAATCAGAAAATGGCGGCGAGCTTCGCTTATTCCTTCAAGTGTTAGAAAAGGCGAAACGATGAGATATATCTATACATATACACATACCTGACGATGATCGTGCATTTGTTGCACTGCGGCTGCATTTTTGGCGAAGAAATGTCTTGAAAGATGCGACGACGATCTCGATCGAACACGCAAAAGCGAATCGCCAATACCGAAACCCCGATAATATCGATATTATGCGTTAATAACGAGAGGTGCACGCAGGGTTTTTGCGTTATGACGAATTCGCTTTACAAGACACTTCCGGTAATTATTCGCGCGCGAGATTCACTTTTAGTCAAGGACGATCGTGGGAAATGTCGAGCGATTTAAATGCAGTTTCACGAATGCGAATTCGAAATTGATTCAGAAGCGATATATTGCGATTCTCAAAGTATCGAGACGATCGAGATGTCGAGGCAATTGCAATGTGTGTAATTGGCTACACTCATTTTAGTCGCATATCTCTCTTTTGCATTTTTAAAATATGAAATACGAAATAAATATACACGTTTTAATCCCTTTGGCGAGAGAAAGAGCAAAGGAAGAGTGCAATTAACGCCCCAGTGAGCAATATGTTATCAAAAGAAATTCATAAAGTACTCAAGTTTAAGAGTCGGACTTCCGAAAACACCATCAAAATGATAATATTATGATATCAATAAGTCCTCCAATGCGTCGATTTTAGAGGAAAGAAAGACATCATATAATTGACATCTAAAAGAATTCCACAATCTGACTTCTTTTAAATATCAAAAAAATGTCACCGTTAAGAACCGTTCTATTTGTAGTACTATATTTTTGGACGAGTTTTTTAATTCATCGATTGATCAATCGCATATGATGCGCAAGTACAGCAAAGTCCTGTATTTGCTACATTTGTGCATCATGCGATTGATCAATCGATGAATTAAAAAACTCGCCCAAAAATATAATACTACAAATAGAACGGTTCTTAACGGTGACATTTTTTTGATATTTAAAAGAAGTCAGATTGTGGAATTCTTTTAGATGTCAATTATATGATGTCTTTCTTTCCTCTAAAATCGACGCATTGGAGGACTTATTGATATCATAATATTATCATTTTGATGGTGTTTTCGGAAGTCCGACTCTTAAACTTGAGTACTTTATGAATTTCTTTTGATAACATATTGCTCACTGGGACATATTGAAATAAATTAAATTAAATAACACGTATTTTTAACAATAAGGCCTTTCATATGTGAAATATGTTATTTTTAAATTTTAATTACATTTAATTTGTAAGCAACGTTTATTTATTTTTTAGATAAATGAGTTGCAACAAATAGGAGGGAATAATGAATATGAATTTATTCGAAGGGCCTAGCTCTTGTGAAAGATATCTTACAAAAAGATAACTTACTGATATCATTTCTAAGAAAATTTGATTAAGTCTTTAAAAAGTCCTCTTAAAGAGCTCATCCTCTCAATAATGCTCACTGGGGCGAATGGAGCTAATATTTTTAACGTATAGAAATAAAATTCAAAATGTTTTAATAAATATTAGAAATGATCGAAATATATATATTTAGCGAATTATATTGCAAGATGTATAATATTGAGAGATACGACTCTACCAAACAATGATGTATATAAATGTACATACATTAGACGATCACCAGTCGCACTGTCGTTGTACGTCGACGAAAATTTGAGATACGCCAGGACGACTTCGATGGATGCCGGGCACACAGAAACGGATCGCCGATATTAAAATCACGCGACATTGACAATGTCCACACCAACACCACTTCACCAAGCATTTTCGACAATTCTTTGCGCGCGAGAGAGAGATTCACTTTTATAGTGACGGTACAACATTCGCCGGGAGGGGGAGGAGGAACGCACGTTACTTGCGAATACACGCGATTTTACGAACCATCGCGGCGCGATTCGAAATCTATTCAGATACAACGTTACGTCGAAGCAATTCGAATCGGCTAGCGATACTGTACGCCGATGTTCGATGCGTTTACACGGATAAATATTCCGCACTTTACCGAGACACTCGCGACAAACTTTTCGCGCGCGAGATTTACTTTTAGCCACGAACAATCGCAATGACAAGTGTGGAATGAATAAACAGTTTTGTGCGCGCTCCATCTGGCGTTACGTGATGCACAACGCTAGGTATTCTTTGATTGACCAATGAGAACAAGAGGAACGAGGATCTCCTCATCCAATCGCCAATCAGACGCATCTAAAAAGCCAAATGGGGTTAATCTTCTAGGATTTATTTCGTGATTTATCGAAAAAACGATATTGCGATTCTCGAAAGATTCAAACCAACGCGGATTATATTCCATTCCCGGAATAATATACGGTGCTCTAACCTTGAACAAATACTTTGGGAAGAGTATATGAAAGAAAAAAGAAGAAGACGCAGAAGTATCTATTTTCTAATTTATCTCTATTCGCGCTTGCATATTCAATAAATCATCGTATATTTTTGAGAGATAATATATTTCGATAAGGTACGCGTGTAATTTTAGTACTTTCTCTAATCTATGATTGTGTTTGCATATAATGTTATTTTAATCCCATTGGAACTTATATATATATATGTGTTCGTAAAAAGACGTTAAATTTCCTTTCTTTCTTTTAATACTTTGTTTATATACACTTGTTATATATATTGTTACACTTGTTTTATATATATATTTGGGAAATATAAAAGAATTAACATAATCTTGAAATTTTTATTTTTCCTAGGATTCTGAAATTTTTATTTTTTCTGCTTTCCAGTTTGATATTCATGATAAATTGTAGTCTTTACAAAAACTTAGCAAATTACTCTTGAAGAATAGGCAATATAAACATTTGAAAAACTGTTGCACGGTTTTGTGATTTTAACACAAGTTTTTAATTGTCTGTAATGTTAAACAGGTCAATAAAGCATTGTAACAATGAGTGACGATTTGGTAAACGATATTCTGAATATGTACAAATCAACTAATCCATTCAAAATAGTAATGCCATGTCCTAGTAGTCGAAAAGTAGTATGGAATGATAGAGTTTTACATCATATAGAATCTGATGATGTTAACAACGATATGGAATCAGAAATGGATTATGTGAAAGAATACAGACAAAAAGACGATCAAGAATATTTACAGGTAATATGACGCTATAACTATGTAATATTGTTACCACTTTTGCAATTGTTTTATTTTGTCCTTTCTACTATTCTTTCTATAGCTGAAAAATAATATTGTTTTTGATAAAAATAATCATATGGACAATATGTCAGAAGTCACTGCATTTGAAGGAGAAGCACTTAGCAGAGAAAATACTGCTCAAATTTATCGAACCTACAACTTTGCTTATCGACCCAAGACCAATTTACCTATTATTTCTGTGAAAGATAAAATTGTATCCATGATTGCGAGCAATTCTGTCGTTATTATCCGTGGTTCCACAGGTTGCGGAAAAACGACACAAATACCTCAGTTTATTCTTGATGCCGAGTTTGAGAAGAGACAACACTGTAACATTGTAGGTATGTTCTGCCTGAGTTTAAACTGCATTTTTTGAATTTTTTTGCTGCTACAGAATATTACTTTAATATTATTAACATTTTGCCGATATGAGAATCTTTGTATTTGCAGTAACACAGCCGAGACGTATCGCCGCTTTGAGCATCGCGAAACGAGTCAGCCAGGAAAGAGAATGGCCTGTCGGTACGCTTGTAGGATATCAAATGGGTCTAATAAAGAATACATGTCCCGATACTCGTATAACATATTGTACGACCGGTGTGCTCTTGCATAAGTTCGTAAATAAAAAGCATATGATGGAATACACCCATGTTATATTAGACGAGGTTCACGAGCGTGATGAAGACATGGATTTTCTTCTGCTCGTGGTTAAAAAGTTGTTGCGTACGAATTCCACGACAATTAAAGTTATATTGATGTCTGCTACAATCGATGTAGATAAATTGGCTGAATATTTTTCCTCACCTGTCGAAAATAAGCTTCTACCAGCACCTATTATCGATATACCGCAGCGTAGTCCTTACAACGTTTCTATATATTATATAGATGAAATAGAAAACCTGGGTAATGTAAGTATATATTTTTTAACCATACACAAATAAATATTTTAATGTTTGGGAACAAGCATTATCATTGTTTGGTTTGGAAGAAAATTTTACATATTAACATTTTCTTTAAGGATTTTTTAAAATTCTTTTGTTAAGATTTATTTATTTATTTATTTATTTTTTTTTTTTTTATGAAGATTGTGAAATTAGTGGTCATCATTACATATCCATATTCCGAGTATTAATATTAATATTTGTATAAACTTTGCTAATTTTTTATAGATGAATATTATCCTTTCATTAATATATACACACATAATCAATGCTATTAACAAATAATTATCTTTCTTTTTTTGTCTCATGATTTTAATCAAAGAACTAATCATGAAAAATATTTTTTCGGTTAGATACCTAAAATAAACGACGATGCACCAAGATTCACATATGATATGGTTGAGTTTTGTGCACGTATTATACATATTTTTGATCGCGTTGATAGAAAGAGCAATGATTCCGACAGTGCGTACAAAAGGCACGCCGTGCTAATATTTTTGCCTGGACTTTCTGAAATCGAAGATCTACGTTCTGTGCTTTCATCAGAAAAATACGCGGATGCGAAATGGGATATAATTATTTTACACTCATTGATCTCAACTGAGGACCAAGAGAATATATTTAAAAAGCCACCAGAAGATTTCCGACGTATCATACTTTCGACAAATATTGCTGAAAGTAGCGTCACTGTGCCAGACGTTAAATACGGTACGTTATCGTCAATCAAGAACATTTGTTTATCGAGAGAGAGAGAGAGAGAGAGAGAGAGAGAGAGAGAGAGAGAGAGAAAGAATTTGCCATTTTGATTTTAATTTATAAAACTATTTAGTGCTTTTTCTTTTTGGTTTTTAGTGATTGATTTTTGCTTAACGAAACTTCTTGTAACTGAGTCTGGATCCAATTATCAATGTCTACAACTTTGTTGGGCAAGCAAATCAAATTGTCAGCAACGTGCTGGCCGCGCAGGTCGTCTAATGGATGGTAGAGTATATAGAATGGTGCCAAGATCATTTTATGAGGCAAGTATCATTTTTACATGAGACAATAATCCGACCATATCTTCTCTCACATGGAATACAATTTATAAATATATTATTCTAAAAATTGTGTGTGTGTGTACAGACAATACTACATGAAGAATCTCCTCCGGAAATGCTCAGAATTCCGCTCGCGAACGTAATTCTCAAGACAAAATTACTGAATATGGGCGAACCAAAAGCTCTGCTTGCTCTTTCTCTGGACCCACCCAATCTCAGCAATTTACGAAACACTACATTATTGTTGAAGGAAGTGGGTGCATTGCGTGATAAAGGTCAAAGCATTCAAGAATGTGACGGGGAGCTGACGCCCCTGGGTCGTGTAATGGCCGCCCTTCCATTAGACATACGCGTGTCGAAGTTGATTGTCTTGGGTCATATCTTCGGTATTCTGCAGGACACAATCATTATCGCGGCCAGCATGTCTGTCAAGGATATATTTAATATCAATTTTCACGAATTAGAATCGACCTATAATGAGAAGCTATATTGGGCCGCTAACTCGGACAGTGATAGTATAGCTTGCTTGAACGCTTTCAAAGTATGGCGAAATGATAAAGCAAATCGTCGTATAACTAACCCGCAGGAGGAAAAAGAATGGGCTAAGCGAAAAAGTCTCCGCGTGAAATCGTTGCGCGAGATCGATGCCTTTATAACTGAGCTAACGATGAAATTACGCCATTTTGGTATAAAAGAAACTATGGGTAGTAATAAAAACACTTGGGAAAATCTTTGTATCGATCACACTTTTATAATTAAAATGATAATTTCCGGTGCGTTCTATCCAAATTATTTCATTAAGTTTCCAAACAAGATGGAAGATTGCAAACAGAATATAGAGAAACAATTATCGTTCCGCAACCCAATAAATACTGTCATCCTACGGGGATGGCCGTTGCATCAGCCCGGATCGTTGTATTCCAAGAGATTTCAGGAGATTTTCGGACAGCATATAGGGCTCAAAAATGACGAAGACATAACTGTATCCTTCGATGGATCAAACCGTATTTACATCGAATACGAGGAAAAGAATTGCGCGCCCAATAATTATTGGTTCGTTCAAAATTGTGTCAAGATGAGACAGTGTCGAATTCCGATCCAAATACGATTATTAAGCGAAACAGATGCTCGTCGCCGAGCCGAGAAACTCGGTCTTACGAAGGATTGATCCGCAAGAACCACCGTACAAGCGATACATGTATGATAAGAAACCGTATCCAGAATTACCGGAAGAATCCGAATATCGATCAAAAGTGATATTGCAAGGTCCCTTTTCACCGGTAGAGACTCAACTGATCCATCTGGTGAGCACTGGAATGTCGAAATTTGTGACCGTGGATACCACGTCGGTGAATTCCGTTCTACTCGACACCTGCCTGGATAATCCAAGAGAATTTCTTCTCGTGGCGCAAACTATTAATAGAAGTTCCAAAAATATTGCGCATTTGATCTTACGAAATACAACTCTCTTGCCTAACACGCCTGGTCTCGCGTCATTAATCACTTTAATTTTTACGCCGTACATGGAATTAAGACGTAGTCCTCTGGGCACTTATTACACAGGTGCTCTGTGCGGACTAGGATATGATCCTTCTACAGAGAAGAGCTTATTTCCGGAGCACGATATACAAATTATATTCGACATTGAGATCACGATGAACGACTTGCGAATGGTACGTCATTCAATATTTCAAGTTTTTATACATAATGCAATATGCATATAACATATACCAATGTATTTAGATAAAGTATCTGGGAGTTTCTTTCTTGTGAGAGATATTTATGCTCATTATATAAATATGTAAAATGAAGACAATTTAATATATATTAATTGTATGTAAAAATTTTGTTGGCAGATAAATAAATTACGCCATTGGATGAATGTTGCAATGCACTTTAATGAAGACGACAATATAGACGAGGAGACTCAAAATGAGCTGACTATAAAGTGCCAGAATCAAATTAAGAATGCATTCAAAGAAATAATATATAAACCCCGCAAGAGACAGAAGCCAATCTTAACTAATAATTTCGATAAATGGAATCTATATGACGAAACTCTATTCCTGGAGCCTGTTCGAGAAACCTTGAGACAAAGTAATATATACCGTCTACACAAAGCGTTGGAGTTGAACGAAAAAAACGATAAACTCGAAGAAATAATCAAACATTTGTTAGAATTGGAAATTCTGGCTCACAAGTATGTACATTCATTATCATTACTTTCTCTAGAACCTCTATGTAACAAATGTCTACTAACATGTTGTTATCCATATTATTTACAATATGTATCTATTGTGTATCATTTTAAAGTGAAACATAAAGTCACATTATTTTAACACAATACAAAACTTGTCGATATATTATTACATATATTTGGCTATTGAGTAATTAATTAATCTATAATATGTCTTCTTTTATATAAATTAAACATTCAATATATATATAATTATTGTTTCTTTTGTATTTTATAATGAATTATTTAATCAAATATTAATTAATCTAATCAATTATTAGTAATATTAATGATATTTTATATTATATGCGCAGAGATCCGCATGAGACGAGTATCACACCCGTTTACTGCAAATTGTGTCTAACAGAAATATGTGGCATTATAGATCTTCGTGCACATTTATGTTCGGAACAACATACAAAAAAGCAACAAATGATAGATACAACTACTGAATTTGGAGAAGATTTGCAAAGTATTCTAACAAAAATGAGGCTATAATACGATGTGAAAAATGAAATTATAGATTGCAGTTGATTAATTTTCTCTTTTTTTATTTTATAAGGTGTACTTCTATGCACATGTATATTTTATTTTTTATTTGAGTGTTTAGTTTATTTGACATTATACATATGAAACCAAAGAGTTCATGTACATAACTAATAAATAAAATATTAGTCATTATATTTCTAAAAACTTATTGTGATTGTATTATTATAAAAAGAGACAATTGTCGTTTCTTACAATATATTTTCTTTTTATTTTTGGTTCACAATTGAGCACATTATTATTATTTTATGTTATTCTTTATACTTTAACGTTTTCAGAAATTAATTTACTAATATATATAAACATATAAATATGTAAGCATTTTTGATATTGTTGTATTACATATGTATATAGTGTAGGTTTGTATCCATGCATTTATAAAATGATAAAATTATATTTCATAACATAATTATATAAGATAGATATTTTATATTCAAAGAGGTATTCACTCTCTCTCCCCCCTCTCTCTCCTCTTCCTCCCTCTCTCCCTCTCCAAACCCCCCCGTCTCCTTCAAGTAAAAATAAGTGCACAAATTTTTTTTTACTTTAGTATTTTTTAAACATGAAAATATAACAAGGCAATTATAACTAGAGAGTTCTAGAAAACAAGTATCAGTCGTCTAACTTTTTTTCGATCAATTTATTGTAGATTGCAATATTTTATACCCTGCAGGAGAAACAGCTAAAACTATTTTATAGTATGACAGGTCTCTTAGATAGATTTTTTTAGTACCAACTGAAAATTCGAAATTTATTCATTTACTTATTACAAAATCAGTATTTCCAGATTTGCTTGTAGTGATACATCGACGATGATAGCCAATGTACACAGTTTAAAATCTACTTATATTAGTGATTGATAGCTAATGCACACAGTTTAAAATCTACTTACATTAGTGATTCCATTGCTTTATCCAATTCTTAAATTTCTTTCACTGAATAGGTTATATTTCTCGTTGAAGATAACGAGCTCCAGGTTGCGTATATAATAGTCTACCAGGTACGTTAGCGGCCGCGCCGCTAACATAAGTACCAGGAGACGGTGGAGGTGGCGGCGGGTATGGACCAGGGGGTGGTTGAGGTGCTCGTACAGGATAACCCGAAGTAATTCCGCCCGTTTTTGCGCCCTGCATTTACAGATAAAGATAAAAGCTCAATTATATAACTATATATATAACTACTAGTACTTTCATTATGAATGTAATACTATAATGACTATTATATGCGGAATATGCAAAAAAGTCGCTGTCAAATTTTAGATGCATGCTGTCTGAATTTCATCAGTATTGTTTTTTTTTATATTTTTTTAGAAAATTTAAAAATATAGAGAAATAATATAGTATTTAAGCACAACCTGAGGTGGTTGTTGAATCGGAATAGCTCCACCATGGACGGTAACGTGATTTGTCGGTCGCAGGTAAAACTTATCCTCACCGTAAGCGCCTTTATGCTCCATCGAGTGTAAATTAGTTACATATGCTGTAAAACATATATAATTTATGTAAATAAAGGACGGCAGTTCGTAAGATTTCATTACTTCTCTTTTTCTTAAAATAATGTTCTATTACCAAATATTAAAATCGCATATATATTATAAAATCCGCCAAGTAATTAACGAGGAGCCCAACAAAATCTTTCTTGTATATCAAATAAAGATAGAATTATAGAATTATCATTTTTTATATCAGATCGTGTTTCTCATTTAAAAGTTATTTCAATTTTAAATCTGCCGTTATCTTATAACATTACTTCTTCGCTTTATTTTTTTTAAATTAATCTCGTAAAAAAGGTAAAAAGATAGAAAGGGAGACTAGCATGAAAACTTCGCAAACCTTTTTTAAAAATTAATTTTTGAAAAAATGTTTTAAAAATTTTTTGTTTGATTTTGTTGGGTGTAATTAAGTAGAAGTGTTTTTATATAAAAGCTTTTATATAAAATATTTTTTAATATCTTAAATAAGTTTTCAAGATATATCAAAAAAGCCGAAAGCGACGCTGTAGTATATTTTTAGATTAGATCGTATATATGAGTCTATCTTTTCTTTTAGGATTTCTCATTAAATGCATCATTGTATAAAAATAAAGATTTATACCACTTTATGAAATAATATAACATAAGAATTGACATCAATAGTTAATATTACCAGTCTGGTGTGTAGCTAATGGTGCTCTACCTCCCGAAAGATAAATAGGTTTAGCCGACTCCGAGGATTCTCGGGACGGTTGTGACACAGGTGTGGAATAACTGTAAACACTCTGTCCTGTGGGCGTCGAATAAAAATTCGATGTGGAATACTGATTATTTTCTGTCAAATGAAAAAAATATACAAAATGAATAAGATATTTGCAGATATAAAAGAAAGAATCTGCACTTTCATGTTTCTTAATAAAAACAGCATAAAACTAGTCGCGAAAAAAAAATTCATTTACTTACTGTTCCAAAGAACTGCCCGAGAATCACTGGATCGTCTAGCAGCTTCCTCAGATTCTACAAAAATACAGATATAATAAAATAGTATTTAATATCACAAATATGATTTTTGTATACCTACTAGGAGGTGGGGGATTGTAATTTGGAATGGATGGTGGCGGTTTGTATCCATATACACTATGATATGGAGATGCAGTAGGTGGCGGCGATGGACTGTGGGTTCTTTTCAAGGTACTCTGTAAAGAGAGATATATAATTAGTTTTTTTTACAAAAATATATAAAATTTATACTATGAAGTGTATATACATAATATGCTAAAGTTACACATACACTTGGTAACAGATGCGTTGGAGCACCAACCGCAACTTTGTAAAGAGGACTGCTGCTTCGTGCTATTGGCAAAAACAATTGAGGATGTACGACTCTTGGACCTGTTGCTGGATATCCTCCTACTGTTGTCAAGACTTCTGAAGAAACACTGAAAAATAGGATCTTATTACATAAATCTTATAATCTTGAATGCACTTTTTGCAAGGATTGCAAAGAATGGTGCAAACCTGGTTTCTTTTATAAGTTGTCGTCTTCTGTCATCCTCATTTAGAACCTTTTTCAACTGTAAAAACAACTGATGTTTCTCATCTTTCAATTGGGCTAACTCATTTTCCAAGGTAGAGATTTGTTCCCGCGTTTCGCCTAATGTCATCACATCTTGCTTCTGTTGTCGCTCTCTTTCCTTCTCTGCATCAGCTTCTTGCTCTGGAATATAACATATATGTATAAAGTATTACTAAAAAAAAAGTTAATTCTTAGAAAAAGCTCCATATAATAATATATCCAGAAAAAATTGTTTTTATATATAAATTAGAATAATTAGATAAATTAAAATAATTAAGCATAGAAAGTCTGCATATCCATAAGTATGTGCGAGTTTTTAAGTTATAAAGAAAAAAGTTTTTCTCCCATACCTTGTTTCTTTCGTTGTCGTTCTCTCATAATATGAGTTTTTAATGCTTGCCACATTTGCTCGTTGCGTTGAGGTGGTCCAACTAGCATCGCCGGCATCTTTCTGTCCTAATAGTTTTTCACACACACACTCTCTCTTTCTTTTTTTATAATACTACGTATTTATTACATTAATATAATAATTTGTTTCTTTGTGTATATGCAATCATATTAGCAACTATTGTAAATACAGGATTTAGTGGAATTTCAAGAGCTTTGCGTCACGTCAAAAGGATTTCTTCATGTGCAGTAGTGTAAGGATTATGTGATTTACATGTGCGTCTAAGTATATCTTAGATAATATATAAAGACGTTCCCGTTTTAAATTTATCTAGATGTGAAAAATGTGAAAAATGAGAAAAAGAAATTATAAAAATTTCATCTAGATAACCTTAAAGAGTGACACCCGTTCATCTTGCTCTATAATATACTGAAATGAGCTTTTGCTATGGTAGCCCATAATACTTATTTTCTAATTTCTCAACAACTGTCGCGATACTGTAACGATAAAGTTATTCTATAACCCGAATTATTGATATCTATACAAAATATGTTTTCGACGTCGTTAAAGTGAGTATATCCATAAGCATCAACTGACATCTGACGTATAAGGGCCAATTTCACCAAGTCCGGTTAGATTAACCGACGGTTAAAATTAGCAGGGTGCGGTTGGTACATACCGGAAATAAGTTGGCGCTGGAAGTTCATATTTTTTAATAATTTATAGCTCAAACAATTGCTCTTTAATTGCTCCGTCAGAATCCACAATTGCTCCCCTTTTAAAATTAGTAGTTTTCGAAATATTTACAAAAAACGTAAAATTTATCATTTTCACTCAAAAACATATTTCCAATAGTTTTTTGCAACTATATCCAGTATAAAACGATTGCTCCTTAATTGCTTCGCATTGCTCCATCATTATTTTCATGATTTATTGCATTTTTTATTGAAAATTAACAAATTAATCATTTCCCTAGTGACGCCGTCATCACTTATCGGCCGCCTATCGGAACTATATGGCTCAGAAGCTTTCACGCATTGAGCGGATAGATCGCCTGGAAATCTATAGTTCACGTAACATATATTATAGATTTCCAGGCGATCTATGCGCTCAATGCGTGAAACGGAACGCACCCGAGATGGTGTAGTCCATGCGTGGTCCATGCGCGAGAGTTATTTAGGCGGGACGGAGACTATCTGCAAAGTGGTACAAATTATAGGATTCCAAAATTCATAAAAAATAACTTTGAAGAAGCTACAAATTTATATTGATGATAAATTGTGGATGTTCGACGTGTCCGATACTGAATAAAACTCCAAATCTAAATATATGTACACGTAGGCGGACACAACGGCGCGGACCCTACAAAGCCTGCAAAGAATTCGGTTAATGCGTTCATCGATAAATAATCATGTATCACTTTCTATTTACGAGACCGACGCATTTCGAGATTTCGTTTAAAATTCCATTGCTTTCCATAAATATTAAAAATTGTATTAAAAAGACATTTCTACCCAGCCAGCACGAAAAGGCCAAAAGACATCTTGAAAATATTTAAAGAACGATAAGACATCTTTAAATCGTTTTTTAGACGTCTTTTAGGAATATGTGAGGTCCGAAAATATTTCAAAGTAGAAAATTCTCTCTAAATATTATATACAATGCTTGTAGAATGCTTGCAGAAATATCATACATTTCATCTGCCATGGCTGTTTACAAAGCCCAATCACGCATGGGTCTGTTCCGTTTCTCTATGCGCAGTAAGAGTAATGGGAAAAAGGGAACGAGTCAATGCGCTCATGCGATATGCTGCGTTTCATGCGGTTCATGCGTGAAACGGAACGCACCCTATGTATAACCAGTAGTGTCACTTGATGGAAATAGCGTCCAAAAAATAAATAAATAGGGTCCCCTTTATCGGCTAGCCGGATCTGAAAGCTGCAAGACCAATTTTGGCAGCGTGGAGGGGGCAAAATGGGCGGTCGGTCGGGCGGAATCTGACCAAACCGGACAAAAAGCGAGGTCGTTCTTTCCGTGAACGCAGTATAGACCAAGAGGATTGTACACTTAAGAAACAATACAAAAAAACAAGAGAAAATGTTACTAATTGAACTTTATGCATACAAAAACTAAAAAAATACAAAAAGACATGATAAAATGTTACTAATTGATCTTTATACACACAAAAACTAAAAATTGCAATGATCAAGTAGACTGACAACTTTTGTGACAAGAAAAGGAAATTCTAGTTAGCTCGTACATACCCTATAAGCGCGTGATATTATTTAATATACTAGGCGTATTCTAAGAATATTAAATATTGGATGATTGCATAAGTAAAATATAATCTATTGAAGTTTATATTTAAATCGGGCATGAACTTATGCAATCACCTGATATATATTTAATATTCTTAGAATACGTCTAAAATATTAAATAATATCACGCGCTTATAGGGTAGTAGCCAATATGATTGGTAGAATAACATTAAAAGCAAACTCTAGTTAGCTCGTACGTAACAAATCAATACATTTATCATGATGATATAACTCCTTATAATTTTCTGTCTCAGTTTGTGCGCGAGTGAACGCGGGAGCGCTGGTATTGCGTGAAATGGACACGAAAACGTTTGTAAAAAAAGCAGTCAATTTATTAAGAACAATAAATAGTTTACAAGTCTTTCACCGATAAGATTTATACTAATCTTAACCGAGTTCTAGCGTCGGCGAGCTACCGAGAGCGCAAAGATAATCTCTGCGAGCGACGGATATATCTTGAATACCGCAAGCGACGGTATAAACGGCGCGATTCCGCGAGCGACGGAATAAACGGTGCGTTTTAATAACGAGAGATTAATCGCGAGCAACGAGAAATCTCTTTTAATCGAATCGAAAACTTCGCGTTTCGTAAATGAGCGTACGAACTAGAAAAGCGAGCGACTTTTCTTTAGCGAGAGTTTAAACGATATTATAACACACTGTCACGGATGGAGTTCACAATCGAGTGCGCCCGGCGGTTCCCCGAGAGAGCTTTTATACAACCGTTCTTTTTAGTGTTCTAGAAGTTTCTACGTGTTTGTCCAAAAGATCGGGCCTACCGTTGTTGTTGATAATTCGGTAAAATTGAACGTTATTATTCTCATTTGTTTGTAATTTTGGCTCTCTCGGGTGACCGCTGCGTGGCCCGCTTCGAACGGCACGAGCGATGCCGCGGGCCTGGCGCGATTTGCGGAGCGCGGCTGGCGAAGCGCGCTCTGATTCACGGAGAGCCGTGCGCCGCGCGAGATGTCCGCCAGCGCGCCAAATTTTGAGCGTGATTAAGCCGCGCTTTATTATCATGCTCGTTATAACTGACAATAATTGCTATTATATTATTACAGTTAGTTCGATTTCGAACATTCCGTCCGCCTCTTCTTCTTCTTCTTCTATTTTTTGGCAAGGAACAGAGTACATCTCCGTTCATGCTGCCAGAGAGCCATCTCAACTTAGTTTACGAGGATGAGAACACAGCGCATGCGCGCCAAAGCAAGGTTCCAATTCATCGAGTCAAATCGAAATGTTATTCAAGCGCAGGAAGGAAACCATAGACATAGTATATCTAGACCGAGCGTTTGCCTTTATTTAAGGAGTAGGGGTAAAGATGCGAGAGAGAACGAAAGGGGCACGAAACAGAGTATTGTCCTTTTCTACGTGCACCTCGGCTCCCACTCTTCAACACTTGGTCTAGATATACTATGTCTATGAAGGAAACAATAGGAGCGACAATTTTATAGGATGAAAATTTTAAAAGCTCAAAAATATCATAGGGGGGGAGGAACTGCAAGCCCTCGCTCGACGGCAGAGAGGAGCGAGCCACGTTGTGCGGAGAGCAGCGGACAGGACCAAAGGACGTGACCAATATCTTGTTGTGGAGCCCCGCAATCGCATGCGGGAGAGTCCACAATGTTGCATCTAGAAAGACTATACCCAGTGAGCATTATTGAGAGGATGAGCTCTTTAAGAGGACTTTTTAAAGACTTAATTAAATTTTCTTAGAAATGATATCAGTAAGTTATCTTTTTGTAAGATATCTTTCAGAAAAGCTCTTTATGATATCTCTTCATAGATATCTCTAAAGTCTTTAGCAAGCGTGCTATTTAAGATATTTTACGAACGCTGTATACATGCGCAAGCAACGTGTTCTAGTGTGAACTGCGTGCCATTGCGTGCTCTGGATTTCAAAGAGAGATAGCATTTCTTCAATATTAACGTTTTTAAGATAATCTTTCTTTCTTAAATCATAAATATTATTAAATATGTATTTGAGCATAAAATAGATTCTCGCCCAAAAATATAATACTACAAATAGAACGGTTCTTAACGGTGACATTTTTTTGATATTTAAAAGAAGTCAGATTGTGGAATTCTTTTAGATGTCAATTATATGATGTCTTCCTTTCCTCTAAAATCGACGCATTGGATGACTTATTGATATCATAATATTATCATTTTGATGGTGTTTTCGGAAGTCCGACTCTTAAACTTGAGTACTTTATGAATTTCTTTTGATAACATATTGCTCACTGGGTAGTTTAGATTGTAATGATTAGAGCGGATTTGTGCGACAGTCACCACTCCAACGCGATCGAAAGAATGACTTTAAAACCATGCATTAGGCGAAAAAGATGGATACAGTCTAAAGTACTGGGAGCCTTTTCGACCTGTCTGGGAAGCAAGAAAGTCCCCTGTAGTCTTAATATATCTATCTCGAGCAAATGAGTAGAAGTCCGTATGAGGAGGGAGATACTCCGAAGGCTCACCCTCCCTCACAGCCCGCCCAGCAAGGAGATCCGCCGTTTCGTTACCCAGGATACCCACGTGCGCGGGTATCCATGTCAAAATAACATCAATACCCTGGGGAGAGGCCGACCTCAGCTTATTTTTGAGGACAAGGACGAGATAGCTGTAATCTCTGTCAATTCTGCTGGAAGAAATGATATCAATCACACTGCGGGAGTCTGAGAATATCGTCACCTTGTCAACACCATTTTCGAGGATGTATTCCATCGCGTGAATGATGGCCATGCATTCACCTGAAAACACAGAGAAGCTATAGTCAGCCCTAAACATCTTTTGTATGTGAAGAGGCGGTGAAAAGATTCCAATGCCAACACAATCCCCATGTTCCTTCTTGGAAGCATCCGTGAAGATAAGGTGTCTACCATCAATGAGATGGGACAAGGACAACTGAAAAGCAAGCTGAGGGAACGGAGCCCGGCGAATCCTCTCCACCACAAGGGGAGGGGTAACCTCGGAAGTTGGAGTGAAAGATAAGATTTCATAAGAGAAAAGATGCATAGGAACCTTAGAAAAAGGAGCGATTCTATATAGTTTGTATTCTTTATTTAGGCAAAAGGCTCTATACAGAAGGAATCTGTTGAACAGGTTATATTTGTTGTTGTTAACAAGAGCAGTCTGAAGGTCATAAAGCTTTTCAATAAGAAGGTTGTCCCTGAGTGCAAAAGACCGGAAAATAAATTTCGGTGTCAAAAAAGTAAAACGATGTCTAACTGGACTAATACCCGACTCTGCATAAATCACATTAGTAGGGGTAGTCCGTTTCAGGCCCATACAGTGGCGAAGGGCCCTACGCTGAGTCCTCTCCAAGAGTTCCACAAGACCAGAATTATGCAAGGGAAATATAAAAGAGCCATATTCAATAGAGCCCCGAACGAGAGCTTTAAAAACGCAGAGGAGGGTCCTGGGGTCCGCTCCCCACCATACCCCCCTCAGTGATTTCAAGATGTTGGAAAGTTTCCCGCACTTGTTTACCAGATAAAGGGCATGAGTTTTGCCGCTGAGAGCGGGATCAAGATAGATGCCAAGAAACTTATGCGATTGGACCGAGCCAATAGCTGTGCCGTTCAGCTCGATTGAAAAACTCAGGGGATTGACTCTTTTTTTGCTAAATACCATAAGGGCCGACTTAGACGAGGAGATAGACAAACCCCTAGCAAGTAAGAACCGCGACAGGCCATCAACTGATCTCTCCAAGGATCTGAGGGCAATCTTGGGATCCGAGGATCCGGTATAGAGTGCAATGTCGTCCGCGAACTGAACGATCCGACAGTCACGGGAGAGATATTGTTTACAGCCAGAGACATATAAATTAAATAGAAGAGGGCTCAATATGGAGCCCTGTGGAACTCCCCTATCCGAAACAAAGTGAGGGGAAATCTCGCCGTTAAAGACAAATTGGATATTTCTATAATTAACTAGTTGACAGATAAACCAGCAAATTTTCGGGGGAGTCCCAAGTCAACGAGAATGGACAACCAGAAATAAAGACGCCGTTGATCGTCCCGAGACAAATCCATCATGAATATCAGTTGTCAAGACACCCAAGTTGTCCGAACACGACCTCCCTCTACGGAACCCGAACTGAAAAGGGGGGAGAATCCCCGATTCCACCCACCAGTCCAAACGAGTCAGAATAAACTTCTCCAAAACTTTCAAAAGGCAAGAGGTGAGAGAAATAGGCCCATATTTTCCCGGGGTGGATTTTGGGATGAGAAAGACCACGGAGTGATGCCATGAAGCCGGGAAGAGACCATCCTCCAGAAGTTCGTTGTAGATGTCAAGAAGAATCTGCAAGTATTCCGTCGGAAGCGCAGAAATCATATAGTAATCTATTTGGTCGAGACCCGGAGAGGAGCGTATTTTTGCATTTCGAACCACTGAAAGAAGTTCCCTGAGGGTGAAGGGACTATCGAACATCCTGCAGGAGTAACTAGGGGGAAAGTCACCAAGAGAAGAGTAGACCGAAGTAGTATGAAGAGAAGATGGAGGACATAAGGAGTTAATGGAGCGCCGAATTTCCTCTAAAATACGGCAGTTAGAGCTAGGGGAAGGAGTAGCGATGCCCAGGTGATGATTCTTAAATCGCTTAATAACTTTCCAGATGTAGGTGACAGAGGTGTTAGGATTGAGGTTTTGGCAAAAGTCTCTCCATCCTTTTCTTTTTTCAGATTTTAAAATGCGTCTAGAGATAGCTTCCTGTTTTTTAAAGGCGAAAAAATTAGAATATGAGGGAGACCTCTTGAAAGCTGAGAGAAGCCCACGTCTAGAGATGCCAATTCTGAGACTCTGCCACAGCCACAGCGTGTGGAGGGAATAACTCACACAAGCGTGAACCGTGTACATGTAAAGCCCGTTCTACATTGATCGCATGTTGTCAGTCGCAAGCAAATCGACCAATCATAGTCGAATATTCGACGGAATAATCGACTGTGATTGGTCGATTTGCTTGCGACTGGCGACATGCGATCAATGTAGAACGAGCTTAATGCGCAGAGCGTTCTGCGCTCCGATTCCCCACCCGGAAGCTTATCTGGAGTTTTACGTCTAATAAACTTTCGAATAAAATTCCTCAGGAACCTAGCCGTTAATCAAAAATCTAACGGCACTTTTCTTATACAATGTAGATGCAAGCTTTCGATTGCGACCAGTTTGAATAAGATTGGTGCAGTCAATCCTGAGGAATGATAATCGTATACCAGAAATGTGACATTTATTTTCTTCATCATTATCATAATAATAAGATAAGTTTCAGACTCTCACGTACGTATGCTCGCACGCACACACGCAAAGCGAGTTTGTCCCTCAAGGCGCGTTTGCAGCGCTCATGTATGATTTTATGCTTGAGTGTGCAAATGCGCCTTGAGAGACAATTTTGTGTATGTGCGTGCATACGTATCAAGCGACGCAGTAGTCGCGGTACGCGGTAGCATCGCGACGTCAAGATATAATAA